CCCCAAAACCCCAAAACCCCAAAACCCCAAAACCCCTATCTTGAATTTCTGAATTGAATTTTACAAATTATAGCGTCTAAAGGCACGGACTCCTTCATCTTCATACTCTTGCTTAGTGACGACGTAATCTTCGAAATCATCTCTCTTAGTGAACATTTGGAGACCATGCCAAGTGTTGAACTCAGGGTTTGGAGTCAGGAAGATCCTCAGATCTGCAGAATCAGGTTTGAAGCCCGTAGGATGTTGGATACTCTCGTCGCCTATCATTTCGAGCTCACATCTCTCAGCAAACCCAGTGAAGTTAGCATTACCACCTGTGATTATGATGTTCCTGTACAATAGATTCTCCATTGCTTCAGGTCATTTATTGATACATTGGCTGATCATCTCAGGGATACCTGCCTGATGGATATTTATATTACTCGGGTTGAACAGCACCTCAGGCACAGTAAACCGGGAGTTACCCATAGTGATAATCTGCTCAGCCGATTGCCTCATTGGATCAAAATCTCTAGGATATCCCTTCTTAGTTGTGTTATAATCAGGAAGGACATATTCCTTCAAAATTTCAGTGTCCTTGTTCTTTCACTTTTCAAGGTCATTGTCAAATTCTGTGGAGACGTAGCACAGATGCTCTTTGATATCGTTTACGAGCAGAGTCTCTCCAGTGAGATTGTATTCTTTATATGAGATTATCTCAGTTAAGAGGTTTGTCATTAATTTCCCTCCAATATCAATTCTGGTAGATGCATGTTTGATAGGCATACCTCCAAAAATGGGTACTGCATATGTAAAACTGAAGCCAGAATCAAGTATGAGTTGTCACTCATCATCAATCTCGTCATCTTTGAAGTAATCCTTGGCGAATTCTCAGAGCATGGATTGCCCAGAAGTCTTGAAGAATGCATCAAATCCAAAATCTTCAAAAACCATTTCTCCATATCTCTCAAGGACAATATCAGGGAGAACTGGAGGAGTTGTGAGGCAGAAGCAGCTGGTCTTCTCATCAACCTTCTTTTTCTTGCCAAATGAGGAGAATATCTTATTTCCAGATCATCGTCTCTATATCACTATCATGAAGTAAACCTCTGACTAAGGGGAATGTCAATGTGAGGTTAGTCTGGCCCTTGTTAAGTTTCTCAAGGACTTCATTACCCACAAAGAAGCTGAGGGTGGACCTATCCTTGCCTATGGCATTAAACATTGTCTTTGGGTCTCCTTCTGTAGCTGTGGTACCGTACTTTATGTTATACGCACCATTATCGAACAAGATTCATTTATCAGGGTTGTCCCTCCAAGTTCCTCCAGGCATCTTTATTCCTTAATAATTTCAATATTTTTAGAATTTTGGGGTTTTGGGGTTTTGGGGTTTTGGGGTTTTGGGGTTTTGGGG